ACCGCTTCCCAGCCCCCAGCACTGATATGGGAGCCTGACAGGGACTTACTGGGAGAACGAATACAATTGATGACTAGCTGTGTATGTTCACTTATCACAGGAAGATGAAGCTGCTGCAGGATGTCCTTCTCCCCTTGGGCACTGTCCCTCATGGACATTAGCAGCCCTTGCATGATCACTCGGAGGACACGAGTAACATTACCTCAGGGAGGCCACACTATTTAGTGCAGAAGGAACCAGCCAGTAGCCTGCCAAGTTGCAGGTTACCTGGTTAAGAGCATCACCTCACACCATTAGGACAAAAGAGATTGCTGGGACAACGGAGCTGAGGCCAGCTAGTGCAGAAGGGGGGCTGCAGAGATCGCAGGTGTTCCTAACCTGCATCTTCACCTTCAGCCTACGCACCAATTCCCATCACTGCACACTTGCACCCAGTTTTAAAGACCATCTTCACAACAGGAACCTAGCTAAACTAGACCTTGCAGTTCAGGCTGGTCAGTTTTGCCTGAGGACTGCAAAGTCAGTGATAAGGGGCAGGTGCCTGCACGACCGTGACACTGGAGAGGCGCCTTAACCAGAGGAAATAACTGGGCTCTAGAACTGGAGTTTTGGTGGTTGAGGCAGAGATGGCCAGGTGATCTCAGCAAAGTGCACAGCACCACGCACCTGGCCTCTTGCCATCAGACTTTATTTTGTCAACTTTATGTACGATTAAGCATCCTTATAAACCTCTAATTTATCTACACTGCCAACAGCTCCAGTGATTCCAGGACCATGGCCCAAGGGCCCTTCCGCCTCCATCAGGGTGAACCATTAGACTATACTCAAATTAATCTTTGCTAAAACAAGCCATGGTTTTCAACTTGTTATAACATTAATTTTAATAGATACCTCTGAACATGCCAAGTGGGACTTTCTTCAAGGAGCACTGGCCCAACCTGGTCCCCGTTTCACCTTCGGTATTCCACTCAGATTACCTTGAAGATACTCAGTGACATTTAATTCTTGGGTCAGGGAAGCAAAACACAGTACTCTGTGGAATTAAGCAAACATAGCACGTGGCTTAGAACCTGCTGCTGCTTAAAATGAAGCCTACATCAACACCCTAACCCAAACAAGGACAGACAACTGTTGTTTAACTTTTATTTCATAATCATAAACTTAACTCTGCAACCCAGCTAGACGTGGAGGTACAAGGAAAACCCGGAACCCAAAGAACCGCAGCGAGAGCCGATTATAACAGGGTGTTCCGAGCAGGCGGGATGAGGGGTGCTCTCGCAAGCTACAGAAGGAATGGTCTGGTGGTTAAGATAAAACAAGTCAAATTTATTAGAGTTGTCCACAGTCAGCAATGGTGATCTTCTTGCTGGTCTTGCCATTCCTGGACCCAAAACGCTCCATGGCCTCCACAATATTCATGCCCTCTTTCACCTTGCCGAAGACCACATGCTTGCCATCCAACCTGCGAACAAGAACAGTCACTATAACCAGTGAGCAAAGACAAACAAGCAATTGCATTACGATGAGAAACTGCCACACTATTCAGCACCAAGAGAACATCAGAAGGGTGGCTTATCCAGCCTTCATTAAATAGTGGAAACATTTTATCCTTTTACCTCAAAGAAAAAGGCAATGCCATAAATCATCACCACCACAGGTGGAAAATCAAATTTAGAACGGACCCTCAAAAAAGGATCAATCGATCCTTGAACTACCTGAATTTTTAGGTACACACACCCTTCTACTACTGAGACACAAACAGCAAAGAGAGGTTAAAGCAAATAATTAACATTCCTTAGTTGCCTCTGCTGCTGGGTTCTGCCCTTACCATTCAGTCTTGGCAGTGCAGATGAAAAACTGGGAACCGTTTGTATTGGGTCCAGCATTTGCCATGGACAAGATGCCAGGACCTGTATGCTTCAGGATGAAATTCTCATCATCAAATTTCTCCCCATAGATGGACTTGCCACCTGTGCCATTATGGCGTGTGAAGTCACCACCCTGTGAATGTGGAAGAGAGAAACCTATCACTTTTGGCAACATATTCAGAAAACCAAGTCTGTAAGGTTCAAACTGCAAACTCAACTTTAAACTGACTAGAAGACCCAAATAGAACCAAAATAGAACGGCTCATACACACACATCCTGAATAGTACTGGCTCAATCCCAGATTAAACCACAACCCGAATCAGTACATTTCATACCTGGCACATAAATCCTGGAATAATTCTGTGAAAGCAGGAACCTTTATAACCAAATCCTTTCTCCCCAGTACTCAGAGCACGAAAGTTTTCTATTAAAAAAAAGGGAGGGAGGGGGAAGATGAAATGGGTAAAAGGGATCAAATATGATAGCTGAAGGAAATTAAACTTTGGGTGGTAAACACACAATATACAGATATCAAATTATAATGTATACCTGAAAATTATGTAATTGTATTAACCAATGTTACCCCAATAAACAATTAAAAAATACGTATACACAGCACACACAGAAGTAAAATTGGACTACCTTTTTCAAACTTACAAGGAACTAACCTGCTGTCTTTGGAACTTTGTCTGCAAACAGCTGTAAGAGAAAAATGGCAGTTAATTAACGCCTACTTACTATTTCATTGCTAAGTACCCATGTCTTTAGGGGCTTCTGAATCAAATTCATTTTCTAACTAGAAGAGAATGCTTCTTCAATAACAACTTTGAATCCCAGATAAAAACTGCTCCAGATAGCTTTAACGTCCTGCGGGGATTGAGTTAAGCAACATGAGACCCAAAGACATGCCAAAAATCCAAAACTTGTAATAACTTCAATGGTGTGAGGCTTCTAAACTGACTTAGAATTTTTAAGTGTTATCACACCTACTTCTAAACAAACATATGACTTCTCAAATGTACATCACCTCCCCCAACTTTGGCTGGAACTGAACAAGTTTCAATAATAGCCAGTACTCCTGCCACATGATTGGGGTAAAGTGCTGAAATTTTAGTCACTGTAATGAAAATGCTACTACCTCCAATCTGCTAACATAGCTTTAGCGGATTAGATGAGCAGTCACTTCTTGGTTTCCAGGTCCCTTACCTAGTAGTGGGGTAAAAAATGAAGAAGTTGGTTTCTAGTGCATCTGCTGTGGACCTTCCCTGCATGTGTCAAACGTTTTGGCTAGAGATCTGAATACCGCTAAAAACATTGACAAGCCCTTCAACGGACAGCTTGTTTAAATGCATCTTATTAACTACTTCAGAAATCTATGACTATCTGTGCACATCCCTGGAAATTTCCATTACGAAGATATTACTATTTAGCGTCTAGGTGTTTGTGGCTAAAAAACACGGGTCTTTCTAAGCATAACTTCTCAAAGCCCTGAACCCCTTTATTTAAGTTACTACGATTTCCCTTTCAGACGCCTACTGAAGTGAAAAGCCGTTCCTGGCAGTCCCACCACCATTCTCAAGGGATACGCAGAAGCACTTTCTCCTGTTTCCATTTAGCCCTCTGGCTAACCTGACACAAGTCACAAAGCCGTAGTAGGCTCAGGCCAAGTTTCCGCGCGGGCCTTCGACAATTACGAGATGACTACAGATAACGGCGAGTGTAGATTCTTCAGAGTGGACCGTTTCTCTCAAGGGGGCGGAGGTGCCTCCTCCGAGCCGGGCAGTGGGGACAGGGAAAGCAGAAGCCCACCGGCCTCGCGATCCGCACGAGGGAGGACCTATCCCGACACCGAATCCTGAACCCCAACCGTGCACGAGCTTTTAAGAGGTCCAACAGGAATGAACTCTCGCGCTCCGCCTGCCCCGCCGCCCCGGGCGGAAGCGCGTCGAC